GCAGTCAACGGCTTGAAGACCCCGAAGCAGCTGTGGAAGCGTACAAATCAGCCATTTTGTCAACATCAACTTCAGACTGGAATTACTGTTTTAATGATTGGTTTGCACGAATGGAAAAGTGCATTAAGTTGAACGGAGAATACTTCGAAAAACAATAAAATACAATTTAGCTATACCGTGCATGTGGTTTTTCTTATTCTCGATCATTTCAGTGTGCCCCTCGTAGGCATTCGATATTTATGATTGACAATCAGTTTAAATAATACATTACCACGCATTCTACATTTAAAAGATAATAAGTACAGAACGTTTGAGATTTTTAATTATTTCTTTCAACGTTAGTAAACCACTTTTGTCCGTTTATTACAAAATAACCCTGTATAGCCATCTCGACAACAGTTTATAAAATAAATATTACTGCATGAAAATACAAAAAATATTTTACCAAGAAATAAATCAACGCAATTCAACATGCACATAAAGTAATAAAAAACCAGACAAGAGAGAGAGTTGGATTTGCGCCCTGAGGTTAGAATGTTTCGAATAAAGAGACAAAAAATTATGTACGAGTATGCAGATAGTTTATCCCGAACCCCTTACCCTTTTCAAACCGAAATCCTCGAAGATTTTTGCTTGCTTTGGATACCAATACACAAATGACTGAAAAGTTTGTTTAAAAAAACAAAATAGCTTAGTATTAGATATTAAGTTTAATTAAGTTAAGTTATAATATATTAAATTAAGTTGCAGCGCTTTAGATATAATAAAATATATAATTGTTGGAATATATTTTATTAATTGAATACAGGTGACAAACGGGAACACAGTTTCGCTAATGGTAAAGTGGTCTATCTTCTATAAAGCATCAAAATGCTGATGAGTTGTTATTCCGAAGGACTAACATGGAATGGTTCGTTTTCAGTAAAAGGGGTCTCCGATCTCCGGATCTCTATATAGATAATGTATAATATACTAAGCTGCGGCATGGCTCTACCAGATATAAAGGTATAAAATGCAATTAAATATAGAACTATAAACAATGAACCACCACTTAACAATAATATCCTTGACTGTATTCAGTCCGCTTACAATATATCAGACTTATTATTATTATACGAACGAAACTTATGAAATCTGCAATTGGTGGAAGGCCGAGGACTGCTGCTGTGTTAATGCATAAAAATTACGTGTCACATTGTTTGTCCGCGATGAACTCCTAAACTACTGAACTGATTACAATGAAATGTATCACAATATGTGCAGTTTGGTCCAACTTGAGAGATAGGATAATTTTGACCCTCAATTTTTTTATCGTGAATTTAAGGTTTTTTTTAGGACACATAGTCGTCGGAAAGGGCAGAACATCGTCTGCCTGGTCAGTTAGTCTATATATATAATAAATCTGTAGAAAAGTCGTGTCTGTAATTCTAATGTATTCTTGAAAAAACAAGTCCAGGGGACTAAATAAAGGGTTCTGAACCCAAATCAGTAGTTATTAGAATTTTTGTCTGTCTCTCTGTCTGTCTGTGTATTCCGGATTCACGCAAAAACTACTAGACCGATTTACATAAAATTTTGTATATAGGTAGTTAGTAACTCGGGACAACTTATAGGCTACTTTTTATTCGATTATAGATGGGATGACGAGTGTTTTTCAAATAAATACCATATTTATAAATAAAGTATAAAATATAGTTATAAACGTGGTAAAATAATTTGAAATTACACCGATTTAGTTATGAAAACAGCGCCATCTATCATCAAATGGAAAAAGTAGCATATTTTGCCTTCAGTTACTAATAAATTAAATAATATAAGTAACTTGCATTTATATGTTAAAATAATAAGATAATAAGATTTTTAAAATTATTTAAAAACTGTAACGTTTAGTTTTTTTAGTTTTTTTGTTATTTTATTTTAAAAGTGTAATAATTTCAATAGAAGATCAATCAAAAATATGAAAATTGATAAGGTTTTTATTTCAATTACTAATCTATATGTAAACTGATTAAAACTGGTCTGTCTGCAATTATTGCAAAATTTTCATTATCATTATAGTTTTATTAAAGAGATTTTTATATATGTCGTGGCTAGATCATAGAATAGATCATATAAAGTAGTCTATCATTTCGTGAAATGGTGTCATGATATTTAATACTGTTTCTTGACCATCTCATGATACAGCTTGACCAAATCAATGAATAGAAATCGTTTGAAGATATTACTAACTAGAAACGTTGCTATTTCATGATATGGTCATATGACGATATCATTAAATCGTTTTTCACCGCTACCGGCGCTGATAGCGTATATTTTTAACAGAAACAGAACTTTTAACAGAATTGTCATCACTTTATGCCTTATTGATAAAATAAATAAATGTTCACTTCTATTGCTGATATTATTAGATAATATAGTTTTGGCTTTCATTATTTGATCTAATAATAGCGCCATCTACTTGCCACTAAACAAACTAAAATGGTAAGTATCTGATATAATTAAATAATAGAATGCTACTGAATATACGATGTAAATAATTGAAAATTCGTTCGTGGCAACGTTGGATGTGTAATTACACTAGGTAGATGTGGTCAACAATCATGCAAAAACTTAGTTTCAGTTTTAATGAATTGTATTTAAACAAATATGAGGGCCGTGTAGCTCTCGCCGTGAGATTTCATCATGGCACGGGAGCAAAGCGTGTACGAGGATGATTCTGTTATAGAAAACTTTACGTGCTGACTTAACACGTGTCCGTTAAAGTGGTGAAGAATAACTTCGTGGAGAAACCTAGATATCTGAGTAGTTAAAATAGTCGTGGAGATATGAAAACCGTTAACATGACATGTTAAAACATTGCACCGTACTCTATTTTTCTGCCCACAAAACACTATAGGTAATGAGGAGACCTGTGTACAGTAGTGAGACGTATATTAGCTGCTACTTTACTTTTTTACCTTTAATGAGATTTATAATCTCTTTGTAATTTAAGTACATATTTGTAAATTAACAGGCTCTTTTTTTAAAGCAAATTTTACTTAAACTGCTTTAAACAAAGGTTCTTTTTATTTTACTTGTCAAAGGCGGTACATAATCCAACTGATAAAAACTTAAATTTCATGGTACGTAAGCATTATTAAATATTTCAGCATATTATATATTAATTGCAATTTGAAGTGTCGATTTACCACGTTCTCGGCGGTTAAGGAAAACCTGCATATCTGAAAAGTTTCCCAGTTGAGGTCATCCTGCACTGGAATCAGCGCAGCGAACACTTTTTTTGGCCAATAACTTTATGCGGCCATTGCCCAGTAGTAACGTGTATTTGAGCTGCAACTTTTTACTTTTCATGGGGCAATATATGCATTTTTTATTGTATTCATATTTTCGGGTATGGTACTTTTGTTTTTACTCTAAAAAAAAGTCCACTGAAATAAACATAGGCCTCCCGCATAAATTGTCAAGTAGCTGGATATTTGCAATAGTTGCCACGCTTGGTAGGCGTGTTGGCAACCGCAGCTATTATTATTTTGATCTTTTGTCAGGAAGATGATGCTGCCCTATGTCATGTCATGCCCTAGGTCATATGTCACTGCTTACGACGGTACGATATGAGGTGGCGGATTCTCTTTCACCGCCACAAAAAAACGAACATTTTTCTACTCCCGTTCATAAGAGTAGTGCTTCCCAGGTTCACTGTGAATAAAATTTATAAGGAATAAAACTAATTTTAAGGATCTTATCGCGTTTAATTTTAACTTTTTTAATTCCCGATGTTTTGGGCACTTTACAGCACCCATGGTCACAGTAGGACTGAGGTTTTTGACGACCTGATGTCATAGTTAGAATGGAATAGAATAAGAATAGAATAGAATATAATAGTAATAGAATAAATGCAGGAGTATGCTTGGGTTTGAATTTTATTTTATTAACTATGGTGCCCTTAGCAAATCTTACCACTCAGCCCTCTTCCCTATTAAAATTAGCACGTGTTTTTTTTTTAATTTCAGTAGCCCCGCGAATCATCATTGGTAGGAATCGGTGTTCTATTACAAGGATTTGTATATCAGATCCGATATAAGGTTGGGACGATACTAAACATGTTGACATACTTTAAACTTCCCGGAGCGACCTGTATGTTCTTTTACGCGGGTTTTTATGGAACTTTCATCCAAAGATGCGTAAAAAAACCTAACGTAAAAAAGTTAAAATTAGACGTGATAAAATCCGTAACATTAGTTTTATTCCATGTGTAGTATACTGTATACTAAATTTTGAAGTCAACTCGAACGTAAAAAAAATATTTACATCTATTTTATGGTGCCAATCAAAATATTAAATAGGACCAATGATAGATATGAATAAAATATCTCAAATAAACATTATGCCGTAAATTGATAGAAGACCGTGAAACTCATCATTATTTTGTTAAAACTAAATTAATTTTAATTATGAATGAATGTAAAGAGTAAAATATAAATAATAGATAATAATAAATTTTGATTACGACACAATTTACCTTTCTTATGGATACATCGGAAGACACGCCCGATATAAAAAATAGTATGTGTTTCTAGACATATAAATTCACGTGTTACTGTGGCATATTATACGTATCTATGCCAAATACCTAATCTACGTCTAATAGTCCTTTAGAATTTAAAAAAATCTTTGACAGACATAGAGACACAGACACCGAGGTGACTCTAAAAGTGATCGAATTTCGCTAAATTTGCCACGCGAGCGAAGCCGCGGGTAAATAGCTAGTTTCAAATGAAAGTAGAAACCTAATTTACTCGTATTTTCAAAAACTATAATAACGGTATGTGATTATCTATATATTTGAACTTAAACATAAAATTACGCTAGTCTTTGCAAAATAACCCCGTATACCTAGTCCATTCCATATAATTTTAGTTATAACCGAATCGAACACGTGGTAAGTATATGAATTACATTTGCGTAACGTTATGCAATACAATCGATTCATTATTTTTCAGGCGTTGAAGAAACATTCTTAAAGAAATTCGAAGAAGCCTTAATGGATGCTTGCTCTGCTGTGACGAAGAAGACCAGATGGCGCGGAATAGTGCTTGGTCTCGGAGTCTACGTTCCATTCATGGCCTACTCCAGTTCTCTTGTATATGGTGCGACGTTGGTCGCTTACGAGGGAATCGAGTATAAAATTATTCTACTGTAAGTTTGGTCACTGCTATTTAAAAAAAAACGTAGTATATTTAATTAATAAGCACGTCAAACAGGTTTTGTTAATTCTATTTTCGACTCAGACATTGCTTTTACATGCAAATTTTATAAACAAGTTTTCCATTTTATGTCTTTCTTCCACTATTAAAAAAAATTGGAATTATAGTTTAAAAGTTATATTTTGTTCACAGCGTAAACGAAGCTTTATTGTATGGATCATATATGTTGGGACAATCTTTGGTGTGTGCACCTAGCTTTAATTCAGCAAAAGCCTGTGGCGCTAGAATTCTGTCCGCTATACAAAGACAACCCAAAGTAAGAACGGAAGATGGTTTAAAGGACATAAGAAATTGGGTAAAATTTTAATTATTTTACACACACACGCGTGCGCGTGCGTTTAATAATACACGAACTCACATACATACTAAAAATAATGATATTCTCTTACCCGTGCATTTAATGAATGGGATTGAAAACGGTGTCCCCTCTATTCATCTCTCGCTCGGACACTGTCTCTATCTATACTCACTCCCGCCGGTAAAGACTGCCACAAAATACATTCCAATATGCGTTTTTCGTTCGTTCTATAACTGCAGTCCAACTTGTTATTGGAATTAATGATAGCAAAATGCCATAAACTATTAAAAAATCTGTCCTGTTGCGCTCATTTGTGAGCTAGACGCATTATCACAGTTTTCTTGATAATTATTGTAGATTTTATTTATTAGTATTTATGTATAAATTATTTACATACTATTGAGACATGAGTATAACCATTTTTAAAATTTTCGTTTGTCTGTCTGTCGGAGCTAATCTTCAGAATGGCTGAACCGATTGTAATAATAAAACTTCACGAACAAATAAAGAGTAATACCAGGAGTGATTTAGACTAAATTTTATAAGAATAATTTAGAGACTTTATTAAAATAGAAATATTGATAAGATAAAATAAATTATCTTTCATGATTATCTTAAGTCTAGATAACGCCACATTAATAGATCCCAGCCAGGTAAATCCAGAGCGGGTCGTTAATTATAATAATTGTTATTTTAAAATTAATATACCTACTTGCGTATACAATTATTTTCAAATATTTTCCCATTAATAGAAAATTTTCCACTAACCGAGTAATATTACGTTATAACGATATACCGTTATTAGCGGGTGTTCGCTATTGGTACAGTGCATGTTGACGGTACGGACTCGATGAGCCACCATTTCTAATCCCATTTTTTATCCGTACGAATTGGAACAAAATTACTACGTTTTCTCCTGAAGGAGAACATGAGTGAAAGAACCGAGTAGAAACTTCCATAAAATAATTTGCGTTCCTTGGGACGGTGAAGAGGATGATGATGACAAAGTCATACAGTACATGTATAGCTTCTCATTTAACATTTACTTTATACTTAGAAATTCATACATTACAGTCTTGGTAGATTAGAAGTATAATGCCCGTAATGTATTACCTACGTACCGTAAACCTATTACCTACCTACCAGGAATTAATATGTATATTATTTCCTGGCATATTCATTGCGTATGTAATTAATAATGACAATTTTAGTGCTGATTTACTTTGTTCACTTAACGACATAAAACACGTGTATCACTCTTTCTTTTTAATCTTGTCTAGTATTTATTCCAAAACTAAAGTTATAATTTTTGGCTTCAAAATCAGTCCGACTGTACCTAATTAAAACTTCTAATTAAATTATTGTCAAATACTAGGCTGCACCACCCTAGTATTTGACAATAATTTTCGTTTGATTCGGATATTTTTAGCTATAACCGAAATGGGACAGATGTCCAGGTGTTCATTTTTAAATAATTTATAATTAATACGATTATATTATTTTATGTATATGTTTATTTTTTAACTGCAGACCGCAACGGGTAGCTTCAATATAAAAGAAGTTCAATTCTGTTATCCAACACGACCACACCGAATGGTTCTAAGGGGAGTAGACCTGAAAGTTGAAGCAGGAAAAACAGTCGCTTTAGTTGGCTCTTCTGGGTGCGGGAAATCTACGATTTTGCAACTGATGCAGAGATTTTACGATCCGGACACTGGTAACATCGTAAGTATAACGTGTGTTATAAAGTGAAAAATATTGTTATGTATTAATTGTATTAAATGCGTCTTGCAATCTTGCAATACATCCAATATTTTAGGCACAATAAGACTCCCTGCCGAAAGCTCTTCTAAAATTACGTCTAGACCACAGACCGCTACTACTCCCTACCAAGAGATCTAGACCACAGAACACTATTCTATGTGTTTTTGGGGAGTTTGACTTTAAGCTCTAGATTTTTTCAGTCTAGTCTAGTTAATTAGAGAGGAACACAAGTTTACATCTTAGAGTAATTACATGCGTACGTAAATAAATATGTAGTTTACATTGTTAAAATTTGAATTTTAAACCCAAGATTGTCTGTGAATACCAGCTTGAGTTTACTTTTAAATCAGACGTTTCGTGTTTGACGTTTGAAGGGTATGTCAACATCATATTTATATATATGTATGTATATTTGAGAGTCAAATCGTAATACATCATAAAATATTTACTACAATAATAGAGGCTTTAAAATAAAACATATTGTAATATTTATGAGTTTCGAATTCTTCAAGCAATGGGTCAAATTCTTGGCACATGGAAAACGCGGCACCTTGATCTACATCAAGATGATAAACCCACTTTCGATAACTCCGCTGGTTTCGCATATAAAAGAGAACAACGCAAAATGATAGCTTGTGAAGACCATCTTATTTCTGCTCGTATCCCAGTTAAATATCGAGACTACTGCGCACACCTCCTTTTGGACTATCAAATATGCCGATACAAGAAAATGCCCTTTGTTCATTTGTGCCATCACGAGAAACATGCATATTTGAACTGTGAACAAGCTGACTACGTTTTAAGGATGAAAGAATTTGAGAGAGAACGGAGGTTGAGAGAGAGAGAATTAAGAGTACAGAACATAGAGAAGCCTAAGCATGGCCCTCGGTGTACTGATTAATTTACCATGATTTAAATAAAATTTTACACCCAAAGAATATGTAACCGTTTACTTTAATAAATTGTACGTATCCTATACATAGGTATGCACGAGTACTTTTTAATAATATGCATATTAAGCTAGGATTGCCAACCGTCCTGTTTTCCCAGGACGTGTCCTAGTTTTTGTAAAGTACTGGGACGTCCTGGATAGTTTTAAGCAGCGTCCTGGGTTTATGAACCGCCCTGATAAGGTCATGTATTTTAAAACTTACAATTTTTACATTACGGGCGGCCTCACGGTGTTTTTATTTTGTTTTTGTATCATTTGAATCTAGTCACATATAAAAAACGAAAATGACCCGATTCTTGCATACATAGTACATACATTCGCCACGTTTTGGTTCGGTTCGGTTCGCAGTTATGTATGACAAGGCCTTTACTGCGTCCTGTTTTTAAACCGAATTGTCCTGGTTTCTCCAACTTCAAATCCTAGATTTTTAAGTTTGTGGTTGGTAACCCTATATTAATCGTACATTTTACACTGGTAAATAAAAACCTTTAAAAATAATGAAAAGGTTGCGATTAGACACAAATATTTCAGATAAGGTGAAGGCAAAAACAGGTTTTTAGTATTATACCCGACTAAAATAAAAATGTAAAATAGCATCACGTTATAAGCAGGAGTGCTACCGGGTCTGGGCTGACACAATAACGACTCGGGATGTAAACACCAGCGCTCTTAAAAAGAAGTATAATTCCGCCTCCAGGTCCTCCAAAAGCGTCCTTGCCAAGGCAAGGTCTGAGCACATCGGCAGAATTGGCGAGAAGCTAGTTCACCTTCCTTCGGGAACCCGTGCATTCTGGTCTCTCGCCAAGACTGTCCAAGGGAGTTTCTGTCAGCCGTCTCTTCCATCATTTCACAGAGAGGACGACTCACTGGCCCATGCCGCAAAGGAGAAAGCTGATCTGTTAAGCTCTCTCTTTGCGTCCAACTCGACTTTAGATGACGGGGGGAACATACCGCTGACTATACCGCGGTGTGTGTGCTCCATGCCGGATGTGCGGTTTATACAGCGCTCGGTTCGCAAAGCGCTCTTCTCCCTGGACGTCAGTAAGTTGAGTGAGCCTGATGGAGTCTCTCACATTGTGCTGGAGACGTGTGCTCTGGAGTTGGCACCGGTTTTAACGCGTCTTTTCCGGTACTCCTACTCTCAAGGCGTAGTCCCGAGTTCATGGAAGACAGCTTTGGTCCACCCGATCCCTAAAAAAGATTCAGACCCGTCCAAAAAGAGGCCTATCGCCATCACCTCCTTGTTCTCCAAGATAATGAAATCCATTATAAACTGCCAGCTCATACCTTGAGGAGCACCAGCTGATTAGTGATTAGTTTTCGTCGGGGTCGATCAGCTGGTAATCTTCTGGTCTACCTGACTCATAGATAGGCGGAGGCAATAGAGTTCAAGGAGGAGATATTTGCCGTTAGTTTGGCCATAGCGAAGGCCTTCGATCGGGTCTGGCACAAAGCGCTTCTTTCAAAGCTTCCTTCCTATGGGCTTCCCGAGAAATTGTGCGAAGGGATCACCAGTTTCCTTGCTAATCCGAGCATCAAGGTCGTAGTAGACGGTGCATGCTCTGATTGTTGAAGCCTATCAACACTGGTGTTCCACAAGGCTGTCTGCTATCACCAACGCTGTTTCTCCTGCATATCAATGATATGTTGACTGGTAACATTCATTGCTATGCAAACGACAGCACTGGTGATGCCTTATATACCGGCCGTGCCAATATTCTTCGGGAAAACGTCGCCGAGTACCGGGATGAGCTTGTGTCTGAAGTCGAGTCTTTGCTGAACAAAGTCTCGGATTGGGGGGGACTAAATCTAGTCCAGTTCAATCCCCAGAAGTCACAAGTTTGCGCGTTTACCGCTAAAAAGAACCTCTTTGTCGTATCTCCTCAGTTTCAAGGCACTCCCATTGCTACCTCAGCTAGCATCGGAATCCTCGGCGTCGACATATCAAATAGAGTGCAGTTTCGTGGCCACTTGGAAGGGAAGGCCAAATTGGCCTCTAAAAAGCTTCGCGTGCTCAGCAGGGCAAGACAGTATTTCATGCCGACACATCGCTTGCAACTTTGCAAAGCGCAAGTTCGGCCTCACATGGAATACTGTTCACATCTCTGGGCCGGGGCACCCCAGTGCCAGCTCCTTCCACTTGACAGCGTCCAGCGCAGAGCGGTTCGAATCGTCGACGACCGAGTTCTTTCTGATCGGCTCGATACACTGGCACTGCGTAGGGATGTTGCATCCCTTTGCATTTTCTATCGAATTTACCACGGGGAGTGCTCTGCGGAATTGTTCGGATTAATTCCAGCCGCCAAATTTCACGAACGCACATCTCGTCAAAATTCACGATACCATGCTCACCATCTGGATGCTTGGCGGCCCACGACTGTGCGTTTTACTAGGAGTTTTCTTCCTCGTACAACTTCTCTGCGGAATTGTTTACCACCGGCGATTTTTCCGGACCGATACGACTTAGGGACCTTCAAGAAAAGAGGTTACACCTTTCTAAAAGGCCGGCAACGCAATTACAATTCCCCTGGTGTTGCGGTTGTTCATGGGCTGCGGTAGTCACTTACCATCTGGTGAGCCGCATGCTCCTTTGCCCCTCTTCTATAAAAAAACATACATCTAAACTATTATATAGTTTGTGGAATATTGAGTTGTCGGCCATCATCTGTTAATATTTAGAACCCGTACCCTTGCCATGTGATTCGTAGCAGGTAATTAGCATGATAGGTAGCAGGTCATTGTGATGGCGTGTAAGAGAACTCGTAACCCTATTTCACGCCGCGGGTTTTTTAATAATATCATGGTCCTTGAGCAACCCAACCGTACTACTAGTTGCTGATATTACTTGATAGGTGATTTCGTAATGATTTTTTGAACACTAGACTTTTAAATAAAACTAGTTTTTCGGATTTTATCGCGTACATTTTATTTTATATTCCCGACCTTTTGAGCACTTTACAGCACCCATGGTCACGGCGGGAACGAGGTGTTCGACGTCTCGGTGTCTTAACGACGACTACCTTCAGACTAAATTTATCATACTGCGTAGATAGAACTAATAATTAATAAATTTTTTGCTTCTTGTAGAATATTTTATCAGCTACATTATAGATTTGTAAAGACAATCACGAGTTGTGACGATACACATTCCAGAGATCTCAAATTAGACAACTTTACTTTTTTACGTAGTAGAGCTAGCCTACAGCGTCTTATCACGAACGAATAGGTCGGTTCGCCCGGGAGAAGAACCGCGCTGTCAAACAATACTTACGTAATTTTGATTAATTAATTCGTGCGATGAGTAGCCAGGACCACAGACCCTTTTTACTTTTTCACAAAAAAATCCATCTTAGTACTTTATTTACTAATACTAATCTCAGAAATACTTAGAGTGGGTACTTAAAGAAGCGCTCACCGGAGAAGAGTATATCAGGCCCTCGTCCATTCCGATATCATGTCATGGTTTCTATGGGCAAATCCATTTGCTATTGGGTGGAATGTGTGCAATACTAATACAAGCTTTGGTAAAATCTATTACACCCTATTTGACCCCCTCAGGGATTTAATTTTTCAAAACCCTTTCTTAGCAGGTGTCTACGGCGAGAAAGGAGTATACATAATATATACCGGACAGAAGTGGTAGTTGTCCATCATCATCATCATCATCATCATCATTACAGCCTTTCATAAGTCCACTGCTGAACATAGGCCTCCCCAAAGGAATGCCACAAAGCACGTTTCTGAGCCACCTGCATCCATAGATTTCCTGCATGTCTTACCAGGTCGTCACTCCATCTCGTGGGGGGTCGCCCTACACTTCGCCTACCGGTACGAGGCTGCCACTCAAGAACCTTTCTCCCCCATCGGTTGTCGGTTCTTCAAGCTATATGGCTGGCCCACTGCCACTTCAGCTTACTAATCCGTTGGGCTATGTCGGTTACTCTGGTTCTACTGCGGATATACTCATTTCTAAGTTTATCACGCAGAGAAACCCCGAGCATAGCCCTCTCCATAGCTCGCTGAGCGACCTTGAGCTTCCTCACACGGCCAGCAGTGAAGGACCACGTCTCAGATCCGTAAGTCATTACTGGCAACACGCACTGGTTGTACAATTTCGTTTTAAGGTTTTGAGGTATGCCTGACGAGAAGATGTGTCGTAGTTTGTCCAACAGTGAGCAATTACGAGCTTTTTTTTTATAGAATAAAGCTGACAAGCGAACACACAGTCCACCTGATGGTAAGTGGTTGCTGTGGCCTATTGACATCTCGATTACGAATTAAGATGCAGATGCGTTGTCAGCCGTGAGGACTATGATGTAATGCCTCGTTTCCAGTAAAAAGGGTCTCCGGTTCTCTACACTCACCATACGAAACATAGCAGCATTAAGCTGCTATTTTACGCTGGTATTCTGTGAGAGCGTGGTTCTTTCCCGGTCGAGCCGACTCATTCGTGCAACAACTATACAACTAAGATAGCTGCAGCATGGCTCTAGAAAACTGCACGAATAAACACGACATTGTTTTTATTTTTTATTTTTACCACTAGGAGCTGGATGATTGCGACATTCGAACAGCGTTGACCCTCCCTCAACTTCGACGGCAACTTGGTGTCGTGCAGCAAGAGCCAGTGTTATTCGATCGCACTTTGGCTGAAAACATTGCATACGGAGATAACAATCGGAAGGTGTCCATGCACGAGATCATAGCCGCAGCCAAAGCCGCTAACATTCACAACTTTATCGTATCGCTGCCTAAGGTAATTTTGATAGTTACAAGATTACCGTAAAAAACGAAGAACATTATCTTTGTATATAAACTAATTTATTATACTTGGATTAACTTGTTATGCATGATGATAAATACAGAAATACTTAATGGTTTTATTTACGTCTTTACAACACATTAAATTAAACTAATCCTATGGATTAAATTAAGTTTGTTTACTTGTTTTGAAATCCCGACGTTTCAGTTGCTTTACAAATCGTTAATTACACCGATCTTACCAAACAATATTACTGAAACTGGTACTTCAATCTTATTCATGAATGACAATGACATGATCCGAAATGGTTCCCTCATGTGTTTTTTTAGTAAAAGCTTTTGTAAATATCATTGCAGAAAACTAACCTAAATGTAAAAAGGTAGTTGTAGCAGGTAGGTAATAGTGGATTATTGCACGCTCCGAAAACGCGTGTAGATGTTAATATTAATTTAAAAAAGTCGTAAAATGTATAAATGCGACAAGTTTGAAACAATAACGAGTTGAAATATTTTTCAGCAACTCAAACTCTCTTTTCTCTTGCACTGCAGGGCTACGACACAAATCTGGGATCAAGCGGTGCTCAACTGTCTGGTGGTCAGAAGCAACGAGTTTGTATAGCGAGGGCGCTTATTCGTTCGCCTCGCTTATTATTATTGGACGAGGCAACTTCAGCCCTTGATGCTAATAGCGAGAGAGTAAGAGAACCTTAGTTATTAAGCTAAAAACCTATAAATTAAACTAAAAGTTGTAACACAGCAAAATGTGATAAATAGAAGAAAAAAATATTTTTTAATTTGCTACTAAAACTCTTGACATCTCGGTGTACAAGATTTTGATAATCGTATTGTTTGGGCTACAAGTTTGTAGGTGTACACAGTTTAGCAACTTGATTGGCGTTTAGATCTGGCTTTCTCGGTTTATTTGCAATAACAATTTACACTTAACACGATAAACAAGGCAGTCAAGGAAAAAAATTAAACAAAACCTAAATCTAAAAAAAAGCAATAATTACCAACATAAAAACATTAATAAATACTATTAAAAAGAAGTTATGGAATGTTTTCCTTTTCAGGAGAAATTAAAACTTTTTTTGCGTTCCTCTAAATTTAAAAATGAGTTTAATTTTTTGCAAAATAGTACGCGGGTAAATAATAAACAATTGAAGTGTTCAAAAAAACAGGTTTGGTTATGAAAACTGACATCAATAACTTCCAAGTGGCAGCTTTTTTAAGAAAATCTTTCCTCGAGATGTTTTCCTTCGCCGCCAATAACGTGGTAAATTGTTAAAATTTAAAGTTTCGGGACCGAGGTAGCTCGTGATAAGGAATATATGAATTAAGCCGCATTTCCATAAAACCTATTATTAAGGCTAAAAGCTAACTTAGGGAGCGCATTAAAAGCTGTGAAATAAAAATACAAGAATGCAATGAAACAGTATTAATAACGCAATTTTCTACTTTTAGGCTGTTTCGGAGGCGCTAGAAAAAGCTGCTAAAGGTCGCACGTGTGTAACCATCGCTCATCGACTTTCTACAATAAAGGATGCTGATCTTATCTGTGTTATAGAAAAAGGTGATTAAATTTGAATATTGTAGACGTAAACCTTAATTTCAAGAACTGTGGTGGCCCGAAATGGCATATTATTAGGGTTGTAAACGGATTATAGGCTAGTTACTTTTACTTTTAATTCTGTATTAAAATAACTACTAAAATAGCACGAATTGGTCGGCTTGAATGGGGAAGGACACGCTCACACTTCTTTAGAATACGAACGTACAATAGCAGCCTAATGCTGCTACGTTTCCTAAGGTGAGTGTAGAAAACCAGAGATCTTTTTGCTGGAAACGAGGAATGTAGTCCTCAGGGGTAACATCTGCGTTTTGTCAACCTTAATATATAAAAAAAAGTTCGGAATTATTATTTTCAAGTAGATTCCTACAAGCTCTTTCCACCATTGCTTTTATGTTCGCGGCTGGACCTTGGTTTTTCGAGATACCCGGGCTGGAATGCATTACTTAGAAGGAAAATCCGACCATGGTCACAATACTGAACAGTGACTTATTAATCACAGAACTGATATACTTTACACATTGATGAATCTGTGGTAGTGAGGAAATCTAGTTTCAGCGTATAAAAATAAAATGGTTGCCAGATCCCCGTTTGCGGTGTGTACCACGGGCAAGTGTGGGTGATAGTGAGACAGAAGAGGAGAAAAGAGACAAAGCTGACAGCTCACATCTTACACTCCATATTGTGTTTAATTGTGTTTGAATTACCTTCTAATGAATGAAGCACTTCTGGTGCAAAGTTTGACCTTTCATAAATGACGTTTTTTATTAATTTAACAGAAATGTCTTAGGCACTCTGGAGTAGAAATAGACTTACTTAGATTACTTCGGTTTTTTTTTTCAGGTAAAATAATAGAACGTGGTACACATGCAGAACTATTCGACATGAAAGGTTACTACTGGCGAATGACCAAAGGGCAAATAATGTCATAATCTATGAAATACGCATGATTTGAGACTTTGGGGCAGGCTCAGCAGGACTAGAACCCAGAGCCATAAAGCCAGTTTAAAAAAAAAGATACTTTGGAAGAATTTAAAAATATTTAAAGTTTGTAATACGGGAAAATATTTTTTACAATAACGTAGAAAGTATGTTACGTGCCATTCGGTTATTGTGTAGGTAAATAGATTAATTAAATTAATTAAAAGAAATTTGTTTAGGTATAATGTTTTTATTTCAGACATTTACTTTTAATTCTAAAACTAAACAGAATAGTTACATGATCTATAAATAATATCACTTCCGGAGACTCCTTACACTTTGGTTTTACCCTGTATCTTACAAAACAAAAAACATCACACAATTCATTAAGATTTCGCGACCTGACTCAGCTTTGCACTGATTTCCTTTTTATTACATGCTGAATTTTAGTGGTTAAAACAACTGTATTTTTAATAGGAATAAGCTTTAAGAGTTTCACAATTGTAATTAATTTTGCTTATTATTAATTCGCAGCTAGATACCCAAGGTACTAATTTAAGTAGTAAACATAATTAAAAATTTTGTACAGCCGACTTCGAAATAAGTTATTAAGAGTAACTCAAATAACTCAAAAACTACAACAGCAAACAACCGTGATCAAATTTACATGGGACCACACGAGTAGTATCAGCTTTCATATAAAACAAGAATGATCGAAATCGGTTCACCCAGTAAAAAGCAGGAGTAAAGTCTCCGCTAGGAGTAAAGTATTCTGTGGTAAAAAGTTATGAGGTAACACACATAAAAAAAACATACACGTCGAATTGAGTACCGTCTTCTTTTTGGACGTCGGCAGAAAATTAGATAACTCATAACACGTAACATTTATTATTTTTGTAGGTAGGTATAATATAAACGCCTGTTACTATGTACCTAAATAGGCAAAGCAAGAAATAATACGAAGGTCACCTTTTATACAGGCTATTAATTTGTCAATTGATTCTAGTTAGGATGATGTACCAACGCATCTGCAGTACTATGCTTGGTTTTAGCTGTAGGTGTCTGCATTGCAATCTTTAAAACATCTATTTATCCGGTCAGAAAAGGATATTATTACTTTAATATGTTTTTATTGTATTTCGCCGCTAATCACAAGAACAACCAGAGCATGGATAACATATTCAAACCTCTCTCAAATTTTACCACAGCCAGACATAGGTATCAGCCACTTAAAATTCAGCGTAATCATCACTGATAATATCTTTACTAGTAAAAGGTAACTTGTTATGTTTCAGTAGTAATCATAGTAGTTCAAATCACGAGTGACTTCCAATTAAATCATCCATCACTCTAAAACAATATTCTAATATCCTAGGTTATCCCTATGTTTTGTGAGGTTACATTAACTTAGCACGCTACTAAACACCGACATAAACGCTTGTTGTTATATAGTTTCTGTGCAATTATGTTCGTACAAATTGATACAATCAGGCGTTACGTTGCGGAAATTCATTGTATAATCGATGTGAAAATTTATAAGCTAGGATCCGAGAGCATTATTAATAGACTGCGATAGCTAACCACCAAGAAAACATCGCAGTTCATTTCTCATACCCATGCCTCGTTTATAGGCGGAACACGTATCGTGTTTTTACGGTGGTGTTTTCCAGTGTGTTCCTGCATAGAGTAGTGTTGAGTTTAGTGGTAGCGGTGATAGTACATGCAATTATGAGAAGGTAGTGCTGTTCCCACTAAGTTATACACTCCATTTTATTTTGCACGCGAACCTTAGCTAATTCATTTTCTCGCCCTTAATAGGTACAAATTAATTAAGATAATTATATTTTCGATAATATCGACTGTAATAGCAGTAGGTACACAAAATCTTACTGTAAGAACATAGCAATAGTCAATAAGCATCGGTAACGACAAGAGCTTACTAATTTAAATGGATATAAATAAAGTAATTCAAGTTTATTTTTGTTTTCACAAAATTATGAGATGAGATGAGATGAAATTATGAGAATTCAGTTTAAAATTAAGCTACAATATAATATTTTTAAATAAATATTTTTTAAATAAAGTATTTTATTTTTGACAAATTGACAAAATTTTTAGATTTAATCATAGAATCTTTACTCTATGGATTTAATAATAGAAATATATGTCTTAAGCACCAGTCCGTATTTTATATTTTTTGGTAAATCCCATTTAGTATGCCTACCGTACCGTATGCGGTACACCAGAGATATTAAAACATTTCGAAGTCCATTCATCTTATAATAAAATCGTGTTGTATTAGTGAATTCTTATAATTAAGACAATATGTCAGCAAGAAGGTAATATATTCTCTATTATACAGAAATCTGGTTATATGTGATAAATGACACTAAGCTAGGTAATAGTGAAATCTCTTGCAGAATAAAATAATATAAACTTTTTTTATGGCCAAGTGAGTATACCGTATATGATACTAGGTTCATACGCCAGCTTAAATAAGCATTTTATGTTCGATGTGCTTTTCTGCCGACTTCCAAAAAGGAGCCGGTACTCAATTCGACTGTGTTTTTTTTTCGTTTTTTTTTTTTTTATGTGTGTTACCTCAGAACTTTTTTCTGGGTGAACCGATTTCGATGATTCTTTTTTTATTTGAAAGCTGGTACTTCTCGTGTGGTCCCATATGAATTTGATCAAGGTCAGACCAATAGTTTTTAAGTTATTCTTAAATAACTTATATTGAAGTCGGCTGTACAAAATTTTTAATTTTAAATTATATAGTAACAGGGCCTTCGCGAGAGTTATTTTTTCAACAATATTTTGGAACTTATATCATGCCGATAATATTTAAATCTTCTTTCGTCCTATCACTAAAGCTTCTATCGAAACAAAAATTGATAAACAAGAAAAACCATACCGTTGACGAAGCTATGCTTATCATATTTTGGTCATCACAGATGTACCTAAGCAATTATATCGTGGGAAACCAATCAGATACGGCTACAAGTTGTGGGTATGCAACGTCTACTTTTTGCTTAGTGTATTAACAAATTCTAAGTACCTATGGTGAATAAATCTAAATACATTTACAGCGACTCTACGATATGACATTATTAAATATCAATTATTATAAACAGATTAATATTTCACTTTACCTACATCTAAATCGTTATGGCAGGCAGATATAGCGCCTGTACAAATGGTACTCTCACAACCAAGCCACAGAATAATTATTTAATGAGGACAACATAAAAGTTAATTTTGCCACCTCGGTTAAGTAAAATTATGACATAAATTTTACTTAATTTAATAAGTATAGAAGATTTACAAAAATATTTAGTTAGCATAAGCTAATGCTATAAGCTATGCTCGGATTTTCTCTGCGTGATAAACTTAGAAATGAGGATATCCGCAGTAGAACCAGAGTGACCGACATAGCCCAACGGATTAGTAAGCTGAAGTGGCAGTGGGCCGGCCATATAGCTCGAAGATCCGACAACCGATGGGGAAGAAAGGTTCTTGAGTGGTAGCCTCGTATCGGTAGGCGAAGTGTAGGGCGACCCCTCACGAGATGGAGTGACGACTGACGACCTAGTAAGACATGCAGGAAGTCGACGGATGCAGGTGGCTCAGGCCCGTGCTTTGTGGCATTTCTTGGGGGAGGCCTATGTTCAGCATTGGACTTATGAAAGGCTGTAATGATAATAATGATGAAGGAGGAATTTCTCTATTCGACAATTTTTTTTTAATATTACACAAGATATCTCGAGAGTTATGTATGAATAGGGGATAAATTTATAATGTAAGCTATTTTATTTTATTCTAGTTGTCAAAAGGGTCAAAAATTACATTTGGGGCATTATGGTTCTTCCATACGATAAGCCTTAGCACCGCTTCAGAAGTTATAAATCACGTGGAATTTTTTTTGCTCTTTAATTCTTTAAAGTTGGTTATTACTTTTGTTTTTGAAATAAAGTGAGTAAAGTGTAAAAATAAAATCTATATTATTTGAAAGAAGACAATAAACAAAAAACAATAACAAGCATGCTTTGTGACATTCCTTGTAGGAGGCCTATGTTCTGCAGTGAACTTGTGCAGGACTGCAATTATGAGGACGACAGCGACGATGATGATGATGATGATGATGAAGACTACGATGATGTCATGATATGCATATTATGCAATAAAACAGAAGTACATTTAATAATTAGAATTACAGAAAATACTACTGAACATATTCTTCAATTTTAGAATATAGCGTTATAGACTAGTTATTACAGTGCTTATGTTTGTAAATGCAATAAGTACCAAAGAGACATTAGCATTTCGTTGTTCTTTCTTTAATCATCAAGTAACAGTGGCGGAGTAACAGTGGCGGAATAACCGTCTCGTATTTATACCGGATGTTAACTACTTAGAACAGCAACGGAAAGCAGCTTCAAAAGTACGCAACCTCCGCTGATTACAGTAAATAATATCACGGCGGCGCCGCGCCGTGTTTAGCCAAACGCATTCCTTTCAAAGGAATCCTTTGTCTTCACTCTCTCGTCCTTAGTGACACTAGAACAAATATTTTTACGGTATAATCTCTATATCTAGCACTGTCATAGGCCTAATTTTTTTTTGAAATATTTAATATTTTAAAATACCTTCTAACTTACTTAGTCGGAGATTACACACTCAATCTGGCGTCAGTTCAGTCTGTGACCTTGATCACGTATAGACTGATGTCCGAATGAAGGATTGACGGAAGGTATTAGACGGTAAGTAAGACTGACGATCAGTCCAACCGAAAACTTCTACGCGATAACACATTGGGTATGGATTTTAACAAAAAAAAATTAAAGAATTCACGGCGATTATTGGATTATAGGGTATTAATTTTCTTTTTTACGTCTTCTACATTAGCTTGGGGTTTTATTTTTTTCAAAATTACTAATAGTTTCTGCAGCGCCTCGTTTCTCTTATATTTATTCACATGTTGATTATTCGTTTTATCCCAAAGAAAAGGTAAAACTTCTAAAGTGACGGCTTCGTGGCGCAGTGGCTTAGTAACAAGTTGCAGCACTGGGGGCCGCGGGTTCGAATCCCACACGGAACAAGTATTTGTATGGCCTGCAAATAATTGTTCCGGGTCTGGTTGTTTGTCCTTGTGCAATTTATCTAACAGTGGTAGAGCCACGCTGCAGCTTTTACTGTAGCACGGATGGGCCGGCTCGAACCGGGGTGGTACAACGACCTCACAGAATACCAGCGTGAAGTAGAGGCTTACCTCTGCGTTTCGCTTGGTGAGTGCAGGTGACCGGAGGCCCTTTTTACTGGAAACGAGGCATTCCATCTTAGTCGACAGGGATTGCAACGCATCTGCATTTTGATTTGTAATAGAGGATAGATGTAGATGTCTATGGGCCGCAGCAACCACTTACCATCAGGTGGACTGTGTGCTCGTTTGTCACCCTTATCCTATAAAAAAAAATATGTTTGTAAACTGCCTCCACGGTACAGGAGAAAATCCTAGTAAGGGGTAACATTTAAAAAGAAAAAAAAGTTGTAATAAATTATTTCTCCTGGGCTAATGGTTGAGAAGGGGACATCGGGGGTGGCGAGGGTGTCACGCACGCAGCGACTCGGCGTGCGACTCCATCGCTGTCTAAGCGGTGACTGACGTCAGACTGATAGCTATGAAACACTCGTTCAGTCTGGCATTAGTCTGACCAGACTGACAAAAATTATAAAATATTTAAATAATCATCATTCTGGACTATCAATCCATCAGTCTACACGTACACAGTCAGTTTCCCGACATTCTGACGTCAGTCATGGATTGAACTGACGCCAGATTGAGCATGTAACCTCCATCTAAGCCCATTAATTCCGCCGTTATTAAACACCCAGCAATCTAGCTCAACGAATATAAAAATAATAATATAAAAATGTTTAAAAAAACAGTCCAGTTTTATAGGAGAAAAATAAGAATACATGATTATGATGATTATTATTGTTATGATGATGATGTTGACGATGATGATTTCTCTAACTTTTCTTAAGTATAATCAGTCCGAACTGCAGTTGTAGTCTCTGTGGGGTGCCTCGATCGTTCAGGCACACCGCAACCGTAATAAAAACTTCATATTTCTAGCAGCCCTAATATTCTACTTAAGGGAGAGGCCCACATCCAACGATGTACTATTTAAGACAAAAAAGCTTTTAAACATTAATAATCCACCTACAGTTCTCGCCATATTTACACCCTTTTAAAAATACATCGTTTTTTGTAATTTTTATCTTGTTATTAAAAAAAAAATTACAGTAACTTATTACGTCTAATAGGTTACTGTCTTTGGTTTAATGTAATAAATAATATGGTTAGAAATATCACATAATAAATGTCATATAATATGTAATATAATAACTTACTACTTCATTGTAATGAAAATATGGCAAATTATTTTAATATACAGAAGATAAATAAATGGAATAGTAGCAGCCACTTTTTAAACAAAACATTTTTAATCACCTCTACATCACAAATATAACCGATGATAACATATGGAATGAGTAATTTTATCTAATTTCATGTACGTTAATTCGGATTTATCAATAACCTCGACAATTCACAGTATATATTTGGGCTATTTACGGTCCGTAATGTTGTGGACGGACGCAAACAAGCCCGCACTAGAGAACTAAGAGTTGGGTCTAGTCCGCGGCGCAAGCTTGTCCATATTGGTACGTCGGATCAATAGCTGTCTAGTTAACGAATGATCTAACGATTTCTTATATTTACGCAAATACTACACATGGAATAAAATTAATGGTACGGATTTTATCACGTTTAATTTTAACTTTTTAAATTCTCGACGTATTGCGCACTTTACAGCACCCATGGTCGCGGGAGGGCCTGATGTACATTTAACAATTATTAATTTTTGGTTCGATCTATGCAGAATAAGCCTACAGTATTTTGAAGTCTTGCAGTAGTACAGTAGTGATACTATAACCTCGTTCTGTATAGATCGGACCAAAAATTAAAAAGTTGAAGGATCCCTTCGTTAACTGTGACATTAAACACCTGTTTCCCCCCCCCCCCCCCTCCACGTGACTATAAGTGCTGTAAAGGGCCCGAAACGTCAGAAATAAAAAAGTTAAATTTAATTCAATAATTATAGTCTGAAAAAAGTAGTTAAATAAAAATCCGTAATATTAGTTAATCTACGAATGATCTAATTTTCTAATTTATTTATTTTAAAATAAGTCAACGTTATGAAATTCCACGATATCCACCAGCGTGACTTCATTTGCTTGTTTTTATTTAAGCTATTATAATATAATGATTATGACTAAATAATGCCAAATGGGCTGCACCTACAGCGAAACGTTCTCATGAGTGACAAAATAGCTAACGACACGCACAGTTAGATTAGCCTCGATGCGGTGCGGTGCGTGGTTGTCTATAGTCGTCAGCAATCCGCGATCTCTCGCACCGTGGAAGCCATTTTAAGAACTCATTACTAATTTTGTTACAATTCTAATGAATTATTACTATACACAGTTTCGTAAAACATTAATAATTTACAATAATTTAAAAAACACAACAATCAAATTAAATTCACATATTACATAACTTTAATATAAACAAATGCATACTTTTCTAACCGTAATAAAATAGGTATGTATGATAAAATTTGAAGCAAAAAAAATTGCTAAAATTAACGGTATTCGCTTTTGAACAAATATAATAGAAATAACACTATACATGTAAAAAATATGTCTCTAATGAACTTACTTACAAAACAACTTATTTGCAATAAATATTATCCATTCATAGAAAATATAACCTGGATTAGTAATTTTACTTAAAATTATTTTAACATTAGATACAACAATGCATTATGTGTGAATATAAAGTTATCGTAATAAATAAAGTTTCTATGGTTTCCAATATGGTTGGAATTAATCTAAAATTTACAAACCTTACTTTTTCTTGATATCAAATAAATCAAAAACTATCGTATTTGAGGCAAGAACCATAGCTGCAATTTTTTGCAATATAATAGCAGTTTAAACAATGAACACCTTTCCCTTTCCATTGTTTTCCGTAACACTACTGTAACACATTTAATGAATAAAAAAGCTTAACTCGCATAAAACATAAATTCGGTTTACATTAGAAAAAAATTAATTGCAGAACTCTGTTAATAAACCTTTAAAGACAAAACATCGTACACTGACACATAATAAAATTTTTAAGTTATTTCATTACAGTGCTATAATATTTTACGTACATTTAGCGATGTTTTGTAACTAGTCAGCTCATTACGGTAACCAATTTCAATACTTCTAGTATAAATTAAAAACAGGGACTTAGTAAGGCGTTTGACGCTTAAGTCCTAAATGGCAATGGCACGCTTAATATGTCTGTAAAACGACATACATTAACTTGTGCTCCAAAGGTAACTCCTTGGTAAACGTACATATAAAAAGTTTACACGCTACATATTTTTGGTATAGTATAAATTACAACCAAACTAATATTTTATTCCCTAAAGCCATTACTTAAGCAAGGCGCAAATGACGCCAAAATCATTGGATTAGGTTATAAACGTTCATTAAAGCAATTAAAGTTTGGTTCCAAAGGTTCTGTTGTTGTCGTTGTTTCAAAATTAAGACTTGTTAAGATCCTTTACTGGGGCAAATGTTGATGGTGCCCCGTGGAAGAAGGCGGATGTTGCTGTGGATATCCAGGTATGGTGCGGCCTTGGGAACTATCGTACAGTACTTGTGCCGGTAAGCGTTGATTTTGTTGAACCTCCTCGGGTGCTACGTAAGTGTTTGGAACCTAATAAATGAGAAAGTAGTTTATTATTAAATTTCATGGCTTCAACAAAAACAAAAACACAGCATAAATATATCTAGTATGTAGTAGCACATCTACATTTATTGTGTACAGATAATATTATTATCAAAACAAATAAACAGATTGCATTTATTTTACGTGACTCACTTCTCACCTCATCATTACACTCACCAATCTTGCCAACCTCGAGCACAGACGCAGGGTAGCCAGCCTTTCAGTATTCTATAAAATACATTTCAATAATTTCTCCCCCCTTTCCACCCACCATCGGACCATCAGACAGTCGGCGGGTCTCTACGGTCAACTACGAAAACAAAGGGGTATCCCCTTTATTTTCATATTCCACGCATATGATCTAAGCTTTTGTTTTGGAATGTTGAATAATTTGCCATGTCGCTCCTCCCGATAACCTGGGTGCCTTCAAGGCAAGAGTGAATAGCCTTAAGATAGTGCGATTAAACATCTAGAGCTTCTTCACTGCCTGGGATTGTGGGATCGTAGTTAAACGCTGGTAATAAATTTAAAAAAAACACAAAATATGTACAACATGATCTACCTACTAACCGCTGCAGCATCTTTAGCTGTTTAGCTTAAAGTCAATCCTAGAAAAAAAATCAGGTTATAAGGTATTCCATCTTAGTCCACTGACTTAAAAATGCATTTATATTCCTATTTGTTTTGGATTTAGCTGCTGTGCTGTTGTCTTCGACTTCGGGCTCGTTTGTCAGTTTTTACGATGCAACAAATTGCAACGCAAAATATCTGCTCACGTTGATAATAGGCTGCAGTATCTGTTTCTTAAATGCTTCTATTTTTAAACTGCTTAGAGGAAAAATATATAATTGTGACATTATTGGGGCCGATTGGATTGGGTTCCAGACGATGCGTATGGAAACGTCGACACCCGCGACTGCTATCCGTGCCGCGCGCCCAAACAATTTACTAAACAAGGCCTTACAAGAACATAACGTACTCTTGATAGAATAACTGAAGATATTGACCTGTTCTATTGTATTTTGAGTAAATTCACTAGGGTAGGATAAATAATAAACATATTTGTAATAGTCAAGTCATATTTTGTTAGATATAAAAAGAACTACACAGTCGCAATAGGTAATTCCTGATATGATAGTTGTAAGTTTAAATAAACAAACATATAGATCTCAAAATAAAATCAGGGATATTCACAGGAAAATGCCACCTTACTTAAAGTTGGCAACGCTGCAACCTTCTCTGTTTGGAGTGGCTAAATATGTAATACGGGGTTTTTCATTAGCGTAAAGCCAGCGAAACGAGATGAGTATGTAAATATGCTAGCCTTTACTGAGCAGCATTGTGTAGCATTAGGACTGCGAGCGAATTATGAACCTATTCTTTTCACTGGCACACAATGATATCTTCATAATACGAGAAAGTGTATACGAGTGAAACTTCAATTTCCCAAATGGTTATTGTCTAAATGTTATCCATTGATTAATGGTTGTATATTATGTATTATCTCCTATGTCCAGATTTAGTCAACCATCTCGTCAATTGAAGTTTCTATGCGGTTATAATATGCGACTGCAATCATTTCCACGCTTTGGTTGGTTGTTTCAGAATAATTATAGTATAAAAGTAATTATATATTGGTTTGATATTTTCCGTTTTTATAATTGATTTTAGATTTTAGGGTGAGTGATGCCTTATCGATAGGTTCTAATTATAGTGTCATGGACAAATGATCAAAAATCGAATAACTTGGGGGAGACAGAGTATCATCGAACAAATACATAAAGAAAGAAACAAAGAGGGACACTATGTACTTACATTGATCAACGGCTGCAGTATTCCAAGCCTCGCGAGAAGCAATTGCTCTTTCACTTGGCGCAGTTCCTCCTGCTGGCGAACGATCATCTGCTGCAGTTCCTCGTGTTTGCGCTGCAGCTGCTCCTGCCGCCGTCGCCAACTCGCATCATATTGCACCACAAACGGCACATGGTCTCGCCGCGAGTGACAGGATATTTGACTCTTTTTTTTTATTGTATATGTAATAATCCATCCAATGTGTAAAAAAAAATGTGCGAACGAACAAAACTGGGTTAAATTTTTGCTAACTTATTGGCTGGCTTGGCTATGGATGGAAGCTTACAAGAAAAATAATGTTAAAGAAATAAATGGTTGTAAGATATCGATTAAACTGTAACTTGAATGCGTTTGGCATCTAGAAGCGAAAACGAAAGGAAAATACTTCGGAAGAATCATGCGGCTAATTATTTTGATCTTTGTGAAGATCTGCTTGCAAGAAAACCAAACAGGATTTAATATACTGTAAAATAAAAGGATGGCAATACTGAATATGTCGACTCAATATTCCCAGACATTCCACATAAGTGAAGAAGGCGTTAGCTAGAAACACATGAGAAAGCACATTATTATTGTTAAAGGGACTTTGGGTTATCAGCATTTATTTATAAGTTTTATGACAAATGAAGTCAAATACTCTGTCAAAATGAACAATGAAGGAGTCCGCCATTGGGCAGGAACCACGCATAAAATAATAGATCACCCATTTTAATCCCCATTCTCTTTTTGTAACACTTACGTAAAATAATTATAATTAAATAGTAAAAGTAACTGATGTATTTCAAATGGTGTACAAACGTGATGTCACACATCACGCCGTGATATGAAACCTCCTCCTGTCGTTGCTCATTACCTACATGCCACCACATTTACTTATGAAATTGCCGTTCTGCAGTACTGATCATTTCAAATCAAAATAATTTTTGTTTGGCATGGAATTCAAATTAATTTTATTGGTCATTTGTTTAATGATTATAGAATATAAGTACCGTCGTGGCAGCAACGCGGCACGCTCCTGCACGATAACGCGCGATCTATGCAACGACAAGCTGCGTTTGGAAGCTGGAGCTGGGGTTGGAAGCTCTCCGTCATTCGCCGTACTCACAAGACCTTTTCGCCTACAGACTTTCAGATTTTCCAGAATTTGGATAACATTTTAGCGGGAAAAAAATTCAATACCCGAGAGGCAGTACAAAATGCCTTTGTACTGCCTCTCGGGTAAAGAATTTGTTGCCTCCCGTTCAGCTGATTTCCTCAAAAAGGGCATCAATAAACTGCAACTACGTTGGCAAAGATGCATCAATTGCATGGGTGATTAATTTGATTAACAGAAATAAAATATATAGAAAAAAAATTAAACTTCTCATAAAAAACGGCAATTTCATAGGTAAAGACCTAATATATTTATCTTTTTATCTAGACAGGTATAGACAGGCTGGCGTAACCTCCATAGTAAAAATAAATGAAAAAACCAATTTTAATCTCTGCTATTTATATCTTGCTTAATCTTACAGAACTATTTCTCTGAACTCCTTTCGTAATTATATGTTTATCACTGACATGGTCAAGCCAAATTTTTTCTTCAATCATTGAAATTACTTTTAATTTTGCTGTAAAATCCGTAGTTCTTTAGTGGTGTTGTTAAAAGTTACTTATTACACTTGTTTTAAATAAGTTATGTGTGCTATAAGTAAATTATCAAACATCAAACCTGTTGTAAGTTAGTACCTACAAATTTATTTGAAAGTTATATATCAATCAACTTCAATTAATGTATTATTATCATTCCTAATTAAACAATATAACTCTTCCAAATTTATCACATTCACTGCCAGTGGCCCGCTTCGCGAATTGTCTAAAAATGTTCGTCAGATGCCTGTGGCCCGCCTGGCGAGACCTACATTTTTCTGCATTATCTTCTAAGATAAGTGATACTTTGTTTCAAACCTTCACCAGGGTTTTTTAGCACCATAAATTAAAAATATTTGTGGTGGTATCAGAAATTAACGAGATTACACAATTTGTTAAAAAAAAACGTTATTATACAATGCCAAGGTCATCAACAGTTTGCAAGTTTTTTGAAACATTCCCGTTTTTTGAAAAATCTATGCAAGATATTATGACGAATTAAGTATATCATTTATATTTATGAAAAAAGGTGTACTTGAAACTGTTTTTTGCGAGTCATAGTTTTTATTGCTCGATAGCGCACGCATGTTATAGAGGCAATGGGGAGTTATGATTTTGACTGGTATGTATGTATACGTTTAAGTGTATTGTATGTATGTATGTTCCTCTGATCTCTGATTCCCTCATAACTTCCTAACTACCTTCATCATCACCATCATCATTTCAGCCCTTCACAAGTCCACTGCTGAACATAGGCTTCTCCCAGGGAATGTCACAAAGCACGGTCCTGAGCCACCTGCATACATCGACTTCTTACATGTCTTACCAGTTCGTCACTCCATTTAGTGGGGGGACGCCCTATACTTCGCCCGCCGGTAAGAGGCCGCCACTCGAGGACCTTTTCTTCCCATTGGTTGTCGGTTCTTCGAGCTATATGGCCGGCTTATTGCCACTTCAGCTTACTAATCCGTGTGGAATTGTCGGTCACTCTGGTTCTACGGCGGAAATCCTCATTTCTAAGTTTATCACGCAGAGAAACCCCGAGCATAGTCTTCTCCATAGTTCGCTGAGCGACCTTGAATTTCCTTATACGGCCAGCATTGGAGGACCACGTCTCAGTTCCATAGGTAATCACTGGCAACACGCACTGGTTGTACAGTCTCGTTTTCAAGTTTTGAGGTATACCTGACAAGAAGATGTGCCGTAATTTCTCGAACGCTGCCAAGCCGAGTTGAATTCGTCGATTGACCTCTCGGTCGAAGTTGGACTTACCTATACTCAATCAAATCTAAGAAATACCTATTGACAGCTGTCAGACTTATTGAACTAGGCATGACAACAAAAAAATCGACATGTAAAATATTCGATTCTTTAGATAAATTGATATCGATTCTTTAGAGTTGGTAAACATTTGCAGTTTTGTTTCGATTAGTACCAGAATAAATTAGAAACGCAAGGTTTATCAGTCTCTTCGTATTTGTTATTACTGCTTATTTCTAGAGGCAATGTTGTATAAGTTTAAAATTTGAAATTAGATGAAAATACATTTATTCAGTTCAGTCCCTTTCACTACAACTAGATGAGCTGTCGTTGTTTAGATTAATTATTATTGGATTTTCAATAATGTAATCAAAATGAGTGTCTCTTTCAAAGTCATCCATAATAATTTTCTTTGTTTTCCCTACCACTTTTGCGCAATTATGCTTTGTGACATGGGTACATGCTTCATTAAGCAAACCTTCTGTTTTCTTCACAAAACATAAGATATTTTCATCTCATGTGTGTTTAAGTAGAGTTAATAATGTGTTTGCATTGAGACCATTTCATATCAGAACTAATCTTTGGTATTTTTTTTTTATATTTTTTATGGCTTTTGCTATGGTGGTAGTTTTGTGATATTCGAAGGTATATTTTGTAAAAGGATTATAAGCCACTCTGAATTTTTCTGCATCCATTTCCTCATCGCATTCTCTTGTACTCTGATTGGAAAGCTAATAAACAATTTTCTACGAATCCTCCTCCGGCGGATCCCGCATCACATTTTCCCACGGGTACCTTCAAGCAAAATGCACAGTACGCACAGTAAGCTCCCAAAATGGCGGGAGATTTTTAAGAAAATAAAAATTATAGTTTTTTTTTCAGCGCGGCTTTGGATAAGACTTTCTATGCCTACACAAATTTACACTGACAAATTCATAGAATTCATGATTCATATAATTTAGGCAATTCTAAATATTAAAATATAAATTAAAACAATTCAAGATTCGATTAATTGAACATTTTTACCGATTATTTGAATATTTTTACCGATTATTCGCATAACAATGAATTTTAATAATTCGAACACTACGATAAGGTATATATCGACATATCATTGAAACAAAGTCAGGCAAAAAAGTTGACTCTGGTTAATTTTTTTATATTTTGCTTTTTTTGAAAGGTTCGAACTTAAATTAGTGATAAAGAACTATACATACATGTAATGAAGTACAGATAACTTCATAATTCTTTGGGTTTACGTAAAAGGTTATTTTAAATCGTGTGAGTACGCTTGTACAGTTATTTAGGAAAGATTAATGTGAAACGTCAAAAGGTATTTCTTAGAATTGATTGAAATTAGTCGGACTATTTGTCCCAGGTAAACATACTCGTCCAAACTTCAAGCAGAGTGCTCCCAACAACTACCGGCATAGGTGTGACATGGACGTTATACATGATCTTTGTTTTGTCCATGTTCATCTTAAGACATGTCCGTTGCAAGGCACCATTGAGGTCATTGAGCATATTGCTTAAGTCCTCCAGCGATTCTGCCATATATACTATTTCGTCTGCAAATCGAAGGTGAGTGATGTCCTCGCAGTTGATGTTATACCGTATCCTTTCCAGTCCAGTAGCTTGAAAAAGTCTTCCAATACAGCGGTGAAGTTTCGGGGATATAACGTCACCCTGTCTTACAACTCTCTGCAGTTGGATAAGGTTTCGTACTCTGGTTCTGTACTCGGATAGCCATCATAGCCCTACTGTACAAACACTTCAGCACTTCGATATACCGACAGTCAACTTGGCACCGCTGAAGTAACTGCAGCACCTTCCAAATTTCGACGGAATCAAAGGCTTTCTCATAGTCCACATACGCCACACATGTATGTGGTCGATGGTGCTAAAGCCTTTTCGAAAACCGGCTTGTTCGGGAGGCTGGAAGTCGTAGAGTCTGCGTGCGAGATGATTCGTAATGACTCTCGAAAACAGCACATAGACGCGGCTCAGAAGGGAAATCGGTCTGTAGTACTTCAAGAGAACATCGTCGCCTTTCTTGAAGAACAAGACCACCGCACTTCAGCCCCACGCCTCCGGTGTAGTGCCACCATGGAGGACGGAATTAAAGAGCTTCTGAAGTACTTCAAGTACCGGATTTCAACCCGCTTTCAGAAGCTCCGCTGTAATTCGATTCTCACCCC